AAAGAAAATAAATCAAAAGACATTAATTGACTTTTAGCAATGTGATGAGTCAAGTTATCAGTCTCAAGATCAGACGATTTTCTGACGAAACAACATGACCCACTAATATTGTGTGTTTTACAAAGTGATTATGTAATATTGGGCCTAGTAATCAACGCGAGGTACTATACACTAGTGAATGATCAACTATCGACCTTAGTACAGTCAGTATAGTTGACAAATATGTCATTTAAATTACACATACCTTGAAAGCAACCTGTTTATATAAGGTCAAGGTACAGAAAACTTGTAGGGCTTAATACTAAATCATAACGACATTTTTGACAAATATACTTACTACATTATTATCATCATCAATTAATTAATTACGAAATAAATATAAAAAACAAAAACCGCCTTTTGATTCTAACAAAACTATTATTAAAAACGATATTTTTAGAAATAACAAAGCTATAGAGCTGCCTCCGATAGAAATATTAATTATATTTTTTAAATAACTGAAGTCAATTGTAACTATATCAAGTTTAAAATTTAAGAAGTTATGTAGACTTAAAGAACTCTAATCGGTGTGAAATTAGCAAAGATATTGCGCAACATAAACACATTGAAAATGCGAAACTTTTAGAATATACTAGAATAACTTTTAGTGTACTGTAACACTAGTGAGCATTGCTAAGGATAGCTTGATAGTACATGCTATGGGAATATTTAACTCAGATCATTTCAATTTTTAAATTGATTTGGTGCTCATCTAAAATTATCCAAATGTAATACTCTGGTCCATATAGTTTATACGTCTGTACAGATTATACAGAAATATAAATATAGACAGGCAAATAAGTAAAAGTGATAAATTCCTTTATAGATGAAACTGCTGACACAACTCGTACAAGTCTATACGTCTCAATATCTTGTAAAAGATGCAGGACTTTTGTTCTAAAAGACCGGATTTTCACGTTTCGCAATTTCTCAACGCCAAAATGTGTCAAGCGGAAATCCTGTTACAAAAACACGCAGAAAAGCTCAGAGAGACGACTAGTTGACGTGTTTACTTTAGAGGTAACATTTGGCACATTTTGTACATACTTACATATTTCAATATTATTATTATTTCTTGAATTCTCTACGAATTTCTAATATCTTTGGAAAGACTTATATTACTTTTCATTCTTTGATTTTATTTAAATATACTACAGTAATTTATATGAATTTCCAAATCCTATACCTAACCAAAGCTCGGAAAGGTCATAAACAGTAACATTGAATAATTGAAAATCTATTATCTATTTTATATATTTGTTTTGTTCTAATGTGCTTCTTTGCAGTTTTTATATTACCACTATTATTGTAGTTGCTCTTTGTCTATTGTCTCGATAAATCTATTCCATCAGTTTGCATGCAATAATTCAGACTTTGTTTCTCCAGTATCCTTCTTATTTAACCTTTACTTATTATATGCGGGAAGATATATCATAAGAGAAGCAAAAGCAAATATTTCACAAGCGAATATATGTAATTTTCAATTATTGATTTAATTTAGGTTATATTTATAAATTAGTAAAATTATATTTAGTTTAAGTTCATCGAAGATACCAAATGTATAAAATTGTGTTCGAATATCGATTGCAGCACCGAGTGAATGCTTGATATTTTTACCTTTAGATGATTATATACTTACTTATTTTTCATGCTTACTTTCTCTGCTAGTACACATTTGGAACTTAAAACCTCATTATTATATGGCACATAAAGTAATAGTAAAAAATCATGAGATTACGTAAAAAATGTCATGGCATGTAAGTTTAATTGTTGAAAACCTTTAATACAATAGTATTTTTTAATGACCAAAAAAGGCCTTAATTATTTACTTTCACCTGCGACTTCATGTGATCCACTTGTTCCATTCCGTATCACTCAATAGTACAACAGGAAGACAAATAATCTACAGATCAACTACTAGACTAGTTGACTAGAAAATAAAAAAAATATTATAGTTTGATGTTTCTAATTGCATTTCACATAATAATATATATAAATAATAATAACCTTTTCAATAATATCTTATTTTAATTATCTATAATTTAATATTTTTATAATCGATATCTATAGCCATTCTATTGAGTCACAGAATACTTATACCAGTAAAATAGAATACTTATGCCGGTTTGTACAATATACAACATATAACTCAACACTATTCTATACATTTTTGTATAGGTTCATGTGTGAAATATGACACTTTAGAGTAATGTTTGAGTATCACAGGCTCCAGACTGCCTATGAAGACCGGATGAAAGTTATATTATTCATTTGGTCAGGTGCAGATGCTGATAGCAATTGATTCTAATAAGAATAGGACAAGTCTCTTAAATCTTCGTGCGAGAAAGATACTGTACTGTTACTACGATGCTAAGCAACTTGGTACTGGTTTTTATTTTTTATCCATTGCACTAACGAGGTAGTGAAGTTTATTCTACGAGTACTAATCTTCCTATCCGGTATCCTGGGTACGAAAAATAATGGTGATACAGACAGTCATTAGGTAATAGTAGCTTTACTAACACTATAGTAATAAATGGCTACATTAAATAATACCAACGACTAATTTGAATTCTCGTACTAAATTACACGTGCAAAACCGTAGTCGGAAAACATTTTCAAATTAATGTGACCCGAATACAGGACCCTTTTTAGACTAATGAGAAACAATGTTTACTACACCTTTTACGCTAATTTCAAATAGCTTTTTTTACGCCATCAAATATTATTGTATAATAGTACTTTTTGAAATATACATAAATAATAATAGTATAAGGGAAACATGACAAGATCAATAGATTACAATCAAATTAAGGAAAACCACAGAATACCAAAACTAAAATGTAGCATAAAGCAGCATACAGCTCCTGTAGATGATATATCCTTACATTATATTTATTCTTACAAAAACAAAATTACGGACCTGTTTTATTTTTCCTCGCCTTAAACCTGGTTGCTAATGCTAGATGACTCAACAATTACCATAAAAAAATTAACTTTTTTTGTACTTATAATATGTGAAAATCAGACCGGTCCGTCCGGTCATGGAATTAAAAAAGTGTCTGGTGCAGCGAAGATGGAGATGCGAAGCAGCATCAAACAATCGGTTGATGCTACTACCTTCTACTACTTCTACCACTTTTATTTGTTACATTTGACCTGCATCAACTAATATATTATATGTCCAAATGTCCAAACACATTCTGTCGTTGGCATTTCCTTTGTGCAAGCAGTCGTACGGAATGCTCTCCACTTATGTCCCATTGTGTCCACTAACTTGTTTGTGTAACTTTACAGTACCTGGACGGACGATTCACTTGTCAAATGTGTTTTTAAAAACTCGCAAAAAGAATATAATCTTGGGATGAGTTTAAATTATATATTATATACATGCCATAAATTTGCCGTACATTGTAATTTTCCTGATTTTCGAATATCCGCCTAATCTCCCTTCCGGCCGAAGCACCGAATAATAGCTGCATCTATACTTATTTTTTTTTCATGTCTAGCCTTGGACCGTTTTGGTCTCCAGTTGTCAGGATAAGCTACTGTATTATAATTATGCTTCTGTTGATGTTTCATCTATAATCGTAATTATTTAATAATATTTTAATACCACAGTAATTTTATTTATACAGTACCATATTATAAATTAAGTAGACATACTATTTTAAAAAACTATGTTGAGACTATACCGATTTTTATAAAAAAATTCTGCGAAAAAATCATATCAATCTATAAATTGCATTTGAGTTTTGCAGATATAAACAATAATCTTTTTATAACTACTAAATAAAACAAAAAATTTAGAAAGTACCAGAACTTTTAAAGTTTCTGAAATCTTAACGCTTTGTTTTAGAGTACCTATTAACAGTACCTACTACTTTCATCGTCAGCTATGACTAATGAAATAGTCAGACTATTATAATAAAAACAGCAAGCTAGCAAAATATTATTACAAATACGTGACTGTGCTGGTATGGTAAAATCTAGTCTCGTTATGCGCGAAATTCAGCTATATAAAAGTACCTACCTATTTCTTTCCGCAAAAGAAATGTAACGTGACATTTTTATAACGCTAAAAGTATTTAAAACCACTCAATTAAATATAAAATACTAAATGCCTTTAAATTCTAATTAGAGAGTCATTAATGACTCTCTAATTCTCATCTGCTTAACTCGAATATAGAGATGCAGAAGTTCGAGAGTGATAACGTAGATAAATGCTAAATTATATAACTATGTATTAATTATTGAACACACTACATATTATCCAAAACTTCCCATAAAGTTAGGTAACATGCTATGTATAGCGTAGAGCGGACTAAGTAACTTTATGAAGTTAAAAACAACTCTCCTTACGGAAACCAGGCCACCCACATATTTAATCGCGGTTAACTTAAAGAGAATTTAAAATTAGAGACAAATTACTTTATACATATGATAGTAAAATACATACGTATAATAATACGACCTTTATTTGTTTTTATGGATTGTTTTTTGTACAGTTCAGTGGATTTTGGTGAAGGTATTACGTACGCATCAGGTTGGCACTTACATAATAATGCACGCTTTATATGAAAAAACAACAATTATTGGGAAATGGTGTGTTGTGTAATTAACGCGGCGGTGTGTTTATATTATATTATAAATGTATGTCATAATAATTTTACAATAAATTTATAATTATTGTCATAAAAATATTTTTATTAATAACATCCATTGTATCTTATAATATCTACTGAATGGTACTTATCAAACTACTAAAAATCAAGACTAATACTTTTTATACATTAATAAAAGTAATGTAATCTTCTCAGCTCACCTTTCAACCAACTAGACTTTGAATAAGTAATAATAATATTAGAAATGTATAATATATACTAAATATATAATATATCACTGCCAGGATGTCGTGAAATCATACCTATTAAAATAAATAAAACTGGAGGATCACTTACCTACTCGTTTGGTAGAAATCTGCCTTGTAGAGTAATTAAATGGCACATAAATTTTGTTATCCAAATCGAGAGTCAACTCGGTCGGAAGTTTGTCTACAGCATGCACTTCATCCAAACACAACACATTGTCTTTAAGACACCGTTCACTAATCACTGTTGTAAACTCACTACTCGCATCAGAATCATCACCATCGTCTTTGTGTAATGCTTTAAGTTCGCTACTTTCATACACTAGTTCGGCTGCACCCTTCAAATTATCTTGACAGGATACTTCTGCCTCCACCTTTACATTATAGACTCCAGGTATTTTTTTGGCTTCGAGGATAAAATCCGCTCGTTCTCCACGACCCAATGTTATCGCTTTGACTTTTTCAATGCTTATTCTGTGACCATCTAAAGCAATAAGTTCGAGAACATGATTGTCTATGCTGAATTTCACCGGACAACTTTTATGACCTCCACCATACACTAATCTAAAGCGATATCTTTTACCATATTCCACATTGAATTTAGCAATTGGTGCGTCAGGAGATTCAACAGTTTTTCCTTTACCGTTTATGAGCAATGACTCAGCATTCGGAATTCCGGACATCATTCCAGCTAAAGGACCCATGGAGTGTCCCCATTCTGCCATGAAGATAGTATGTTCTGTGGCATCAGCATCATATAACTTGCTCAAAGGACTCAAACGAGGAGGTTTACGCACGATGAATGCTCCAGCAAGACCATCAGCAGCATCCGCAGCAGAGTGCGCGTGATACATATGTGTACCTACTGCCGATGCACGGAATTTATATTGAAAAGTTGTGTAAGCCGGTTGCGGGCATTGGGTCAACATAGGCGCTCCATCCATGAATGGAGTCTCTTTCTGTGGTTGTCCGCGCCAATGTATTGATAAAGCGTGAGCAGGAGCTCTGTGTACGATATCTACAACCAGAATGTCGTTTTCACAAACGTGTAAAGCTGGTGCAGGCAGCGCTCTATTGGCAGATAGAACACCACGTTCCCGACCATCAGCAGATATACACATAGGCGGACACTCTTCGCCATCCTTCTCTGTACAAGTACCACAGGATCTGTGAATGAATTGCAAACTTTAATAATAGTTGCCTTTACTTTAAATATTAAAATAATGCATAACTAATTAAAGCTAGTGTCGACAAACGTACGTATTACTTACTTGCTAAGCGTTTTGTAGACCTCGACAACTAGTTTTACTCGACATATCATAGGCCAATCCAACTCATTACATTCTCTGTCACAATTTTCGAAATATTCCTCTGTAATAAATAAATCAAATATATTAATTCTATTAATCACAATTTGCAGTTAATGAAAACTTTATTAACTGCAGTTCAGTTTATAATGTTATTATTCCAGTTACTCGTATTAGTTTTCTGCGATACAACGAACTCAGTATGTGGTAATCCATCTATACTAATAATTTAAATTATATTATTGGATCCCGGCAGATAGCTAAAATTATAAGGATTAACTTAGGCTACTTTTATTTTATATTTTTTATTTATACATACGAAGTCGCGGGTAACAGCTAGGTATAGATAAAATAATGTCAAACTATGGATAATAAAAATATATACAAATATATACACGTACCCGGCATAGGCGTATAATAAACCACAACAATAACACTGGTAAATATAACAGTTAACACTAAAATCCTTTGCAAGGACATAAGCATATAATTTGGTTTCCTATAAGGAACGCTGCTAGCTTCAACCATACTCTTTTCTGACTCCATTTTGTTATTAATGCACCGGCTTAACTTTATTTTTATGTCAATATAACCTATTACATGTTTACGAACTATAGTCGATGAAGTGAATGTATCGTACAATCACTTGGTTAAGAAAAACGCGACTACACCAGTCAACCATCAGCTGGCGACTGTTTGGTAAGTTGAGCTGGTTATGGCGCTTCGTTGCACCACAGCCGTGCACCTTTGCCTTGTGCTACAGACAAGGGGCCGCCACTCGGAAGTAAATTGACGAGTTTGGACGCTCTCTCCAAGCTTGTTCTCCGTTATGCAACAAAAAATTGTATAACAGAAGCATTGAAATATTGCTCTCCTCTTATATAAAATTGCTTTACTGAAATGAGAGCGATTTAACAGCTACGAAATAATTAAGTGTATTAATTACCTACCTCAAAAAATGTAACTACTGTTTAACAATAAATTATTGGTTCCATTATAAATTATAAGTTTAAATATATTCCGGCATATTTCGTTAAGTTAGCCGTTAGAACAAAAAAATGTAATTTGGTCCCTATTGCAAGATAGCAAAAATATTTTGTAATAATATAATATAATTTTATTATTATTTACTAGCTTAGCTATTCACCCCGTTTTCGTACAGGTGTACATGCATTATATATATAAACCTTCCTATAGAATCACCCTATCTATTTAAAAAAACGCTCCAATATTCGTTGCGGAATTTTAAATATTTAAGGGGTTACATGGGTTTCCTCGGGCAAAAAACGGCCTGTTATCAATAATTTTTTTTACATATAAAAAATGAAATATTTTAATGAATTTTTTTTTATTTAAAAGATACATATTTAATAAACATTTTGCAAAATTGTCAAAAAAAATATCAAAATGGCGGTCATTACGACGCCATTTCCGGTAGTCCCTCGAAAAAAAGGTGCCTCCGCGTTGTCAGCAGAACTTCTTTCAGGATCATCTGAAATAAAAATAAAAAATACGTGTTTTAGTAAAGACAATAAACTAGGTATTGGACGAAGGAAAAAAAAATAAATGAAAATTGGATTTTTGGCAGACGTTTTTATAAAAAAATGCAAATTTCGATGAAAATTTCTCGACATTTTTTTTTTTAAAATAGTTGTAATTAAATTAAAAAAAAATCCTTCGTTCAAGACCTTGTAAATGATATCTCGAAGACCTGTGTAAAATTTCATCAAGATCGGTTGAGTAGTTCGCGAGAAATCTTGACAACCGTCTTTGAAAACATAGTTTTGAGAAAAACGCGTTTAAAGTTTTAAGAGACAATAAAAGTGGGAATTTTTTTTTTTTTAACTTACATTGAATCATGCTGCACCTGCATTGTCCAGGGCATCCTTTTGCTCCAGTCTATGACGAATCCTGACTTCACGAGTCTCGCTGGTAATTTCTTTTCGGCTGCGGTCACCCGGTTTTCATCCATATTTCGGGCATATTCATGGGAATTTGGGCCAAGTTTTAGGTCCATACCGTGCATAATTAATAATAATGCTGATACGAACACCTTCCGTTATCTGGGTTCTAGACACTTTAAACGGCATTTTTTTATCGAATAAAATTCACAACAAACACTTATAACCTCAAAATGAACTTCGTAGTTTAACGAGAAATCACCAAATGAAATATTTTCCAGTAGTTTACCTTGTATAAAGAAAAAAGGGACAAGAATTACAGCTAACAAACAATAGATGAGCTGCAGCTGCGTTTTACCTACTGCGCCCTCAGCCTATACCTGACCTCGAGCGTCCACCTTTTCAAGGCTGTATCTCCGAAACTATTAGTCGGATCAACTTGAAAATTTAGGACAATATTCTAGAGATGTTATAGAATTTAATAAGACAAAAAAAAATTTTTCGTTTTTTTTAATTCGTGAAACCCATGTAACCCCTTAAGCATACATAGGGACAAACAGCGACTTTATTTTATACTATGTATGACGATGATGATACACAATGATTGGACAAACAGTAGATTCCTGAAATCTATACTATTAGTAAAAACCTTCTAAAATATGAGGCAAAGACATACCTACAGACGATCCGACAACCTGTTTATTCCGAAACCCTAAAAATTTGGAAAATATTTCTAATACGTAAATGCAGCATTCAAGTTTTCCCTGTTCGGCATTCTGCAATGTGCTCGTGATATCCCATGAGCATTACCTAGCGAAGCCAGCCCGGCAGGTTACCAGCGTTTTACTCGCAGACAGATACAAAAAGGCAGCTGCTATTTTGATATTTGAGGGTTTTTGTATATTTCTTTATTTTACTACCTATTTAATGTTTTTTTTTTCTTGGATTTTTTACATATTTATATTTTTCAAGGTGGTCAGTTCGGAATTATAAATCCCCCCAATGCCATATGTACAATTAAAATATGGTTAGACGATGTCAATACATTAGTGCCTATCTAATAGTATCTACCGATCTAAATAATAGATACAATCTTTAGAACAAGGTATAAATGAACATTCCGTGACTGGATGTCTTTTACGGGAACAGGCAAAGAAAATTAATGCTAGTTACACGTTCCGTGATAAATATACCGCAATGAAAAAGATATCTTGATTCATGTTAACATTCTATTTAAAGATTCGTAATCAGGACTGTTGATGTTAGAATTTCGACATAACTATACCAACCATTCGGAAAATTTGAAGATTCTATAGCTAAGTATAGGTAGGTAAATGAAATACTTCTCAGTAACACATCTAATTGCAGACAAAGGACATGGACATGGAGTACAACATTAAATAAATAAAAATAGATAACCTGCAATATCTTTTTCAATTATTAACAACATTTCCGGATAATATTGATATTTTCCAGGAATTAAAAAAAAAAAAACAATTAGTGTCATTGTCAATTTGTCAGACGGTAAAGTTTCATCGACACTAGTGTCATTGCCAAATTCTTGACAATTTCTATTTGACATATGTAATGTCATAAAAACATGCTAATTCGGTAATTTATATTTTTGATTTTTTTTATTATAAACCCATTTTTACCTTCATTTAATAAAATTATGTAACACCGCAAAATATTTCAGACTCTTGTACTTTGATAAAAATAAAATAGACAATGGAAATAACAAAACAAAATTTTGTTGAACAATTACCGAATATAACTAAAGATTTAAAGCGTTCGTGTTTTGTTGGTTTTGATGCCGAGTTTACTGCTATTTTATCGGATGAAAAGTTCAAATACAGGTAATTATTCTTCTGGTTACCGGTTATATATATAATATTAATTAATTAATAATTTATACTATATTACAACAAGTGGTAGATTTACATAAATACATCCTTTTGGTTTCAGATTGTTTGATACCAATGAAAAGCGATATGATAATATAAAAACTGAACTTAGTAAAATTATAATGACTCAAGTCGGTCTAACGATGTTCCAATATGAACGAGATCTGGACACATATGTGGCTGTTGGCTATACATTCCACCTTTGCCCGCAAATGGTTGGTGATGTACACCAGTCATTTGTTTTCCAAGCATCTACACTAAATTTCCTATGTAAGCACAAATTTGATTTTAATAAGGTAAGTGATAATAACATTTATTTCAACAGTTTTAATAATTTAGTTTCTTCTTTAGTTTCTCCGTTAGATATCCAAATTTAACAATATTATGCAGCAATTATTTTATTAAAATCACACTCGTATTCTCTTTGTGTGAATTGATAAAATGTAGACTATCTCCATTCTTGTTATATGGTATCCATTACTGAAACAAAAGTTGACTAACATTAATTGCCCCTTTGTGTGGCAAATTTCATAAATACCTATTGGAATATACTTGTCTGAAAAATAAAGCATCTCAGTGATTACTCATATTCAGGACATGTATCCTGCATGCAGCATAATATAAATAATCACTTCACACCTTCCTCATGAAAGAGCTTATTATATGTAAATTATTTCTGTTCAAGTTCTAATATATATGTATATATATATACAGTCAACCCTCCTATAACGCGGTGAGTGCGTACCGCGTTGTATGAAAACCGCGCTATAAGAAACTCGGATTTAACCATACAAACCAGGCTAATTCATAGCGCATTCTATGGAAACCATCTACCGCGTTGTATGGAAACCGCGCTACAAGAGACTCAGAATAACTACAAATCACATCATTCGTACCGCATTATATGGAGACCAATAAATACAAAAGACAAGATAAATTATAAATTATTTTTTTATTTTTAAGAGTTCATACTCTTCAATTCAATAAAAATAAGGAAATGATGAAAAAAATGAAACAAAAACTAAACTAAAAAACTGTTTTCCAACAAAAACAAAAGAAAGACTTTTGTAAAATGATGTAATCTTTCAACACTCATCCTCACTGTCAGATATGAGTCGCCTAACTCGCCTTCTTTTAATGGGCAAAATGTCTTCCTCACTTGGTTGATCTTCACATTGGTTTTAAGCGGCTAAGACATAAGCAGAACATAGTTTTTCTATAGTTTACGCGACAATGTAGTCAAAAGATCACATATATATCTTTCATGTTACAGTTTCGTTAGACACACACAAGCATGGCACACTGTCGATGCGAAACTATTTAGTTAATAGAAGTGGAAGATAGCACATGAGGAGCCCCACCCGTGAACCACGCTGATATAAACATATCCAGTTAAAACCATTCATTGGGTGCACGGAAAGAACTGATGGGACGTTGTTGAACGGAAACCGCGCTGTAAGAGTACCGCGTTATAGGAGGGCTGTCGCAATTTCAGCTCCGCGTTATATGGAAACCGCGTTCTGAGAGTACCGCGTTATAGGAGGGTTGACTGTATATATATAGGAGTAGTGAATTAAGTACCAGAATATTATTACACATTTGTTTTAACTTATAATTTTCAGTTTATTTATGAAGGGCTTCCATATCTAAGTAAAGCTGAAGAGGAACATATTCGTCAGCAGTTGACAGATGGAACACTTTTCAGCAACCTGTCTCGGATGATAGATATAGGTGAAGAGAAAGAAGTACAGCAATACTGTTCTGAAGTGGCTAAGTATGTCCTGACATTTTTTAAATTCTACTAGAATATACTATTTGTAGAAAATTAGGAGTATGGATATACATAGATAAATAATTTGAAGTATTAATGCATAATTTTATTAATTTACCAGCTGATCCCGAAAACATTGTTTTGCCATATAAATTGAAATTGCTTTTAAAAAGTAATGATTGATGGTAAAAGGGTGAATTTTTAGGGTTGTAAGAATTTTTTAGCGTTCAGAAATACATACAACTCTAAAATTTCATTGTACAAAACAATTTACCAATAAATAAATGCTGGTGTGGACAACCCTTATCACTTAGGTCTATGAAAAATGGATAGTAGCCGAATCTAATACCTACTTAATATGCATATAAAATTTCATAAAAATTGGTTAAGCCTCAGTAAAGTTTCAGAGGAATGACATGACAATCATTATTATTATTACATAGTATAAAACAAAGTGGCTGTCACTGTTTGTCCCTATGTTTGCTTTTTTTTATCTTATCTATCTGGGATCAGCCAATTAGCTTTTATCTCTAATAATCTAATATTTTATAAACGGAATTTGAAGCCTTTTTTTTTAATAGATAGAGTGATTCTAGAGGAAGGATTATATATATTATAATAATACATGTACAGCCGTGCGAAGCCGGTTTGAGAAGCTATATATATATAAGATAATATTGATTTTACTGTACTGTTATTTAGTTACACTACTAAGATGTGATCTCAATTTAAAAAATTTAGAAAACATAATTGTGATTTTTCAGATGGCTTATCAATAGTACAGATGAAACAATTTACCTAGATATAAAAAATCCTATCTTGAGGTATATTGTTCACAATGAATTAAGAATACGATTCCCAGATGTTCTCACTACGGATAGTTTAGGTAATAGTAATAAGGTAATTAGGCTATGCAGGAACACTTGCTATGCTCTTTGATTTTTTTTTATAAAATTATCTCATGCGATTTGTTCTATAAGAATGTTTATGTTATTTTCACAGTTGTCATATTAACATCAGAGTCACTCCTATTACACTAAAAGTCGGTAACACTAAATACATATTAAAAACCTTATCCATACTGCCTGTTCTCTGTATTTAGTTGACATGAACCACTAACACATATCACTGATGTTGACCTACGCTATATTAATTTTTTTAATGTTGTTATTACTTTACATATTTCAGGTATTGATTTACAGAGATAAAAATGTAATATCTGCAACCAGTGCGTCTGCAACTGTATTAGAAGAAAATTTATTAAGTCACTTATTAGGATTCTCACAAATTATCCACTTGCTGGTGAGCTACCAGAAACCCATAATTGGCCACAATATATTTCTGGATATTGTGCTACTTCACAATCAGTTTATAGGACCATTGCCTAACAACTATTCTACTTTTAAGAAAAACATTACAGCAATGTTTCCTATAATTTTTGATACTAAATATATATCATATGAAATGGCCAAGATGTTGACCTTTAATGAAGTTTGGAAAACAAATACACTCCAAGAGTAAGTGTATTGCTTCGAATTTATATGTTTTAAGCTATTTATTGGACTAAAAACTTAACAAACAATAAGAAATATAATAATTTTAATAGTTTTGTCTGTTACTCCAGAGTCAAGCAACCAAATATTAATAGATGGTCTTATCAGATGTTCATCCTCCTTTAATCTATGATTAAATGCTGTAATTATTTCTAAGGTCTATGGACCCTTAAAGAAAATGGATTACATTTTTATACTTGCGACTTGCATAGATTTTGATGAACTACCAAAACATATTGTGCACTAACTGGGTTAGTTAGTACACAATAGTTTTGGTAGTTCTTCAATCTTCTACTGCTACTTCTACTACTACTGAGATAAAACATAGCCTATACTCATGCTTAAACACTTCAATACAATCTTAATCATATTAAATATCATTAAGATCTGTTTATTTGTTTAACCGTGAAAGATAACAGGCTCACTTTCTAATTTAAAATATTAGTAAGAATGACGCTTGCGGAGAATAATTAACTTCGAAGCATTCCTTATTATTTCTAAAAAAAATCCAATTTATTATGTTCGTAAATTTATCTACTGCTGTCAATGTACAAAGAATAAGATGGTGCACATTTTAATTTCTGTTATTTTGAAATACGTATTTACAAATTACAAATGTACTTTTTCTTTTCCAGTTTATATGAATTCTTCGCACAAGGCAAATGTAAAAAGTTAGAAAATGGAGTTAACCTTATAAGACTGAGCACGCCATTTGGAGAAAAACAATCTTTCCATGAAGCTGGTTGGGACTCTTACTGTTCAGGTGGTATTTTAGTGTTACATTATAATATTGTTTAAAAGTAACTTATTTCATGAAATACGTTCCAAGACCTTATTCATACGAAATAAACAGGATTAGCAAATAATATAAGAAACATCTATACCTTTAGAGAATACTCATCTTGAGGGAATATGTTTCAGTAACAAATTCTTCTTTTGACTACTGACTATCTTCTATCTATTCTACTATACTTGATGTATCCTACATTGCCAACAAACGGGCCTCTTGTTCTTATTACTAACAGCCCTGACCCCACCAGCTAACTTATATGTTTTTTTTTCAGGTTACTGTTTCATCCGCCTGGGCCATTGGGCGGCTTGTGAAAATAGCGGTGTGTACCGGCCGGTCGGACCTAGAGAAAAACTTGCCGCACTAGCGCCTTATTGCAATAAAGTGAACGTCATACGAGGTGCAGTGCCATATATGGTAATTTTTTATAATATAAAAGTACCTATAACCTCTGTAGAATAATAAATAATAATAATAATAAAAGCCTTTGCTCCGAAATCTATTCACCTCTGTAGAATACAAAAAATAAATAAAATTTACTATATATATGACCAAATTTTATGTAAAAAGTGTATAAAAACCTGGCTTCAAATGGTAACTTATGACGAAACAGAAAACTTTATTGGAAAATAAAAATAGACATTGATATACTTAAAATACTAAACTAGATTGCATGGTAATCTGCAATGATTTATTTAAGTTTAAGTGGCTCTATATTTTTGTTTTCTTTTTTTTATATAACATAAATATGTTAATAAATAGTGCACCCTAGTACGTATGTGTAACCATATCAAACTTCTCTCTCTCTCTCTGAACTCTGCTTAGCTTGAGACTTGATGACGATATGTAAAATGTCCTGAGTTATAAAAAATATTATAAAATATATAATCTAATCCAGTAAGAGTCATTGATAGTGGCCATCTTTATAACTAATTAATTAGTAACACTGTAACAATGTAATGCCTTGGAAATACTTATTATAATATCATTAAACAAATTACTGAAAATCACTTCAACAAATTTACTATGTGCGTTACATTGCAATTTACTTTCCGCATTTTAATGCCAATGTAAATTATATAGAGTTATCAATCAAATTTATCTACTAATTGTAACTAACTATTATTATTTTGTGATATTTTTAGAATCTAACAAGAGAGGACCCTCCAAGTCACCGCCCAAAATTGCTACACGTTAAGTCAATAAAGGAACGCGCAATTGATGTAGGAAAGGTTAGTATTCTATTTTTACGCCAAAATATTCTGAACTTACGATTTACACAGAGTCGAATATTTTTAATTAGATCCATTTTACCTATATAATATAAAACATGCATACTTATATTTTATGTTAACTGATATTGTACTTATGGATGTCAGGGGAACTAATGAATATTCGGAAATAAAATGCTTATTTATTGCGAAAGACGATCATATATAAATACCTATCTTTAATACTTATTATTGTACTGGCTAAAGCAACAAGCTAAAGATTCAAATTTAACGCTACATAGACAAATTGCACCATGAACAACCTCCGTAATAGAGCTGCAACAAGGTGAGCTATTAAATTAAAAGAAAAATGGCTATTATTAAAATGTCATCAATCAGGAACATATAAAATGATATTTCAAGTATGTAGAAACGTCATTCTTTGTTCTATATTAGTTCTAATTTTAAAAAAGCTAATGAGTTATGGGCGATTGCCAGACGGTGAAAGTCTGAAATTTGAACTATGAATATAATAAAAAATAGCATATTCCACTATATATCTGCGTGGAGCTCAGAGAATTTCAATGTAACATTGAGGTATATCACTTACCAATTTAAATTAAACTTTACAATGTTTAACATCAAACTTCTGAAGTTTTTTCTTGTGTTTTTGGATTTTTTAGACATGTATGATTGTTTGTATGGGTCTGGGTGTCTTCTATGTAATATACATATTATGTTTATACACATTTAATATTAAATATATATATATATATATATATATCTATGTCTTTATATAAGTTGTCTAGTATCCATAACACAAGCTCTGCTAACCGTGGGACTAGATGACGTTGTGTTAATTGTTCAGTATTTGAGTATACAAATGTTCTTTCTTATTTAAACACATTCCGAATCAGTATTTTCCACCCCATGAATGTAATAATATTTTGATATTAAGTTTGTATCTTTTTTTCATACTACGATGGTGGCAATCAAGCTTACGGCCCATCTGATGGTAAATGGTTAGCACTATTAATTATTAAAAAGTTGCATATAGATGGCTATTATTAAAATGTCTTCATAGTTTTGCAAACGTTTTAAAACACAAAACTGTGTTTTCAAAAATGTTTAATCAATTTTTAAAAAGTTATATATACATGTTAAAATGAAATAATGCGTTTAGAAAAGTAATTTTCATATATTTACTCATTTTGTTATTTTCCAGTACTTAATTACACTTTAATCAAATATGGGGCTCAATGTTTTCAAAATGCTTTCATAGATGGCATTGTCGTCATTTGTATCGGCCTAATTAAATGTCTTTTTTATATTTTCCAATAATAAGCACTTAATATATTATTATTGTAAATTAAACATATAAAAATTTTTTAAGTAAATTAAAAATAGCCGAACAAGCAAGTAATAATATTTCCAATAATACTTATGTATGAAGTGTTGTCATATTATAAATAAATACATGTATTATCGATTTTTTTTAATAATCGATAACAGGATTTTATTACAGCGCATTATTCGATGATGCTTTTAATGAGTCGTTGTGAACAGTAAATTTTCATTATTTTGTATTATGTATAGCAGTATTCCGTTTCAAAGAACGGAATATAGTAGTACATTATTAGTGTCGTTGGTTATTTGCATTTGTACTGAATAATCGATTACATAATAATTTAAAATATCGAGTACGAATCGTAGTTGTCTTCGAATACTGGCAACTGGTAAGATTAAATTAGTATTTAAAAAAAAGAGAGAAATCGATCCTAATTCGAATACCATAAAGTTGATTTTCCTTTCTCATTAATATCATAGCAGTTTGTTTTTAACTTGCGTATGACTCTGTGGTATGATGTTTAACGTGTATTGTTATTGTACGGTGCATACATTTCAAAAATTATATTTTAATGTAGGTACATACATTTCTTTCATACATTTCATACATGTCAAAAATTATCTTTTAATGTAGGTACATACATTTCTTTCATACATTTCATACATTTCAAAAATGAACGTTTTATGTAGGTACATACATTTCATAAATGTCAAAAATTATCTTCTAATGTAGGTACATACATACATTTCTTTCATACATTTCATACATTTCAAAAATTATATTTTAATGTAGGTACATACATTTCATACATGTCAAAAATTATCTTTTAATGTAGGTACATACATTTCATACATTTCAAAAAGTATCTTTTAATGTAGGTACATAACACCCCATGTCAGACCCCTTGTATTTGGAAGAAACTTAAAAATAATGCCAAAAATAGTAGATGAATATATTTTTAATACGAATATTGTTTTATTTTTGTTCATCAACTTTATCCCTCACTAACAATACTAGTAGTAGTACATAACCTGGTTTATACCGCTAAAGATATTGAAAGATATACGAGTAATTCAGAATGTTTGGCGTGAAAGCGAGACAAATAGATTGTTGTATGTATTTTCAATGTAACATTATAAATAAAAAAAAAATTGTCCATAATACAAAAAAATATTTTTTCGGGGTAGGCCACCCCTATGACTTAGGGGTATAAAAAATAGATAACAACCCTACCTCAGACCTGGCAAGTATACATATCAATTTTCATCATGGGAGAAATATGGCAACTAACACTGTGATACAAAATTTATATATTGTAATACACTACCTCTAAGTAGATATATATATATAGCGGCGCACCCGCCGGTAGCCTCGCGCTGTTGGCTCGTTGCTAAGCAACGGATACCCCGGTAGCGGTTGGGCAACGGGAGGCCGGCGGCAGTTGGTCGTTGAATACCGCACGCAGCGCAATAGTCTTACAACTTATTTTAATTATTTTTATGACGATCCAACAATATAAGATATAGCGGAATTCTCATTAGGTAAAAGAGGGGTACATCGTAGAATACATGAGGTATATACCAGTAAATTAATTGTAGCTAAAATCAGTCTCATACATATAACGATTGAAATAAAAAATCGTATAGCCCGATTTTGATACGTACGAGTATAAACGTATCAAAATCAGGCTATACGTATAGCGCGTAAAATAAACCATAACATAATAGGTATATACATTGGCACATAAGCCATATCTGCAGAGTGTCGGCTAACGATATTATACCTACACAATTACATTGAATCTTGAATCGTCCCTAATGAGGTACACGATACAGTAACCTACATATCTATTATATACATATCTTTGCAAAACAGATGTCATGTAGCTGAATTGACTGCCATCTATTTTCATGCTTTGTTACTAAGCACCCACTAGTAATCCGAACTGCTTCAGATTTAGCGACATCTAGCGGCTACGGTGGCGAAATAAAATAGCCCGAAGAATAGCCCGAGTTAGGAAGGAACCATTTTCTTGTATGGGATGGGGTATCTGTATGTAATATTATGTTATCTGTGCCGTAGCCTATGAACGCCTGAAACACCAGGGGTATCTCGTGCGCGTTGCCGACCCTTAAGAAACCTACCCTTCTTAAAAAATATCTTGTATAATAAAAATATAAGTATCATGTATAGCTTGGGAATTAATATAATAAATAATCGCTATAATTATTTCACATTCCCAAAAAGTTGTATACCTATACAGTCTTGTTTCAAGACTCTTGGATGTCTTAGAAAAGAGTAGTTAATATATTATCAACCTATAGTCTAAGAGACATCTGTTAAGTAATAATAGTGCCCGCAACTTCGTCCTCGTGTAGGTTTGTAGACGCCATCTAGTGACGATAATCAAACGACTAAAATAATTGAAGCATTTATACAACGCCATCTATTGTCTTATTAGTAAATCAGCAATTGTAAATAGCGTAGGTATTTAATATTATTAGGAATATCCCTTTCTATGGTATTTTTCATACATATCTTTATCTTATTTCCTCCAGCATTTTTAAGTAAAATATTAAAATACAAAAGACTTCCTTTTACGAGACGAGCCTTTCACGATTTTAAAATAAAATTTTAAATGGAAAGATTTATTTCTGCTCCCAAAGTACTGCGATTAACCGGAATAAAAATTACATTATTTAATGTAATATATGGAATTGAACGGTAACGCAGAAACTACATTTTTTGATAAATGATTAGGCCATTGAGGAAAGAGTTCGATACAAAAAACTAATTCTCTTTTATAATATTAGTTACGTTATCATGTACTATAAAGGTCATATGAGAACATATTCAAATTCAAATTTGAATTTTTTTTTTAATTTAAAAGCTCCCGATATTTATACGCTGTTAAAAACTTCCTGGTCACATGACCAAATATATATCGACTGTGATAATAATTCTTAAGGAGCTCTTAAGATATATTATCACAGTATTATGTCGATTATAGATTGTGTACAGTAGTAAACAACCGTGAAAAAGTTTAAAACAGCATTCATAATGATCCTAATAACATAATAATTATATACAAAGTAATTAAACAGTATTAAGAAATCATATGCCGATTTCACGTCGAGGCTAACGGAAGAAACATACATATTCATTCAGAAAGAAGAAAGAAAGAAAAACATTTATTGTCAACCATTTTTACATATACATATATACATACATACATACAAGTAGTTCGACCATTGTTAATTTTCAAATTATTTTATGTATTAAACATCTTTTTGATACAATTGAATTTCGAATATACATTAACATCAAAGCCCAAATGACCGAATTACAGCGGCAAGTTCAACCAAACAACAAAAACATGGCAAAGCTCATTATAAATTGCGTAACAAACAAAACACAATGCTATTTTTGTTGAAATTGTAAACTCTGGGCCATCCATGTTATCCCGATCCTCGGATCCAAAATAGCAGCCATTTGTTACGGAACAGTTATGGTAGTAATAATTGTCACCTCTGCCAGTAAAGTGCTGTTTTGCAACACGTGTTTTACTGCTGCAAGCACAAGTCGCACGGTGGCGCCTTTCCACTAACCGTCACTTTATTCCCTTCGCATAATGTGCGATATTGCTATTTTGCGGCCGCAAACTAGCGTAGTAGGAAATCGTCTGACATTTGGCGACACGCCAGAGCGCGACTGTACTCACACGCACGCAGACACCCACACGCGTATATCTCGCACTCTGTGCATATTTCCCGTTGCTAGTTAAAACAGATTGATAATACCCAAGTGTCGCACGCGGAAATCTTTATTTTTGCGCCGTGACACTTTTTTTAATACTACCCGGTATTTGATTTCTCAAATGTACAAAATGTCGTTTATCATGCCACTGTCAAGGTTGATTTAAGGTTAAGATATAAATAAAATCATACAAGAGCTTATATCGCCCATCGCAATATTTCATTGTGCTATAGTTGTTTATATCGCAACAGCTGTAGATAGGTACTACAATGGCAGTATCATGCCAGTATTGCACCATCAATTGAATTTATATATTTGTTTTGTCTTCAGGTGGCGACTGTCCTCTCTGGTTTTGGTTCTATTGATATAAAACCGTATGGTAACCGGACAGCTCTTATTGCAGCTGGAACTCAATATACGTAAGTATCAATATCAGTACTTCGTAAATATGTATATAAGTCAGGAGTATTGAGTGATCCATGAAATATGGAGCCTGATCGTTAGTTACTAGCCAGATGGCAACTGACTGACGATGACGCTCAGATTCTGTCTATGTCTCAGGATATATTAAGCTTATTCTGGTTTTGAAGAAATTTGGAATAAATGTTCCTCATTCTTAATTCCGACGAAGGACGAAGTTAAATTATTGTTGTTATTGTAATTATTGTTGTTGTTGTAATGCATCCCATCCCAACATGATCAATATGTTACTGATAATACCTAACAATATTAATTCTAACTATGATATGGTTATCTATTCTCTTTTTGCACAAAAATAACATTTTCCTACTTTATTATTATAAAACTTTAAATTATTATATACTAGTTATTACCCGCGACTTTCTCATCCCTTATTTCACCCCCTTTTCTTTTAATAGTTCTCGTAATAGCATTTATCTTCATATCTAATTTCATTAATATCTATTCTGACCTTTAGATATGAAAAGGGAGCAAATAAACACACTTTTTTCGAAAACTACTCAAACATTGTTGGCCGCAGCTGGCGTTTTTCTCATATACAATATTTGTATTGTAGGATTATCAAAATAATGGCCATTTATTCATTTGATTGAAGTTAAAGTATGTAATTTTTTATTTCAGTGCGGAGAAAATCCTGAAGCAGTTCAAAGACAGTAAAGAATACAGAATATCATTCTTCAGCGTGTACAGACATGCGCCAGCGAGTCGCGCCGTAATATGGTATGTTAAAGTTAAAAGCCATGTATATAATTTCGATATCCTGAGACTAGAAGTATATGAATATAGTACGTGACGCTCTATAATCTGTACTTACACAAAGTTATAAAGCATTTTCTCTTTCTTACCTAGGTAAAACAGAGTAAAGATTTTGTACAAAGTAGATACCTCAGTAAAATTCATATAAGGTACGATATACACATTACTACGTCGAGACTTCAGACACCTATCAATAATATACCCTATTCGTAACTAATTGTATATTATTAGCACATTCCTTTTAAATTATATAACCTATACATTTGTTTTTTCAGGGGTGGCGCATTACTGACAGGAAGTATAGTTATATTTTTATTTCATAAGAGAGTAAAATAGTGTATGTTGATCTCATAGCTAATTATTGAAATAAGCAATCACAGTAGTTACTACTTTGATTAGCCAATACTGAGCAATAAATGCTAGTTGTTTTGTAAGTTTAATGTTAATTGTTATATTTTTTACTGTATGTTTTTTCTAAAGATAATATTGTAGTTAAATCTATTGAAAATACATGCTTTACTCCACTACATCTTATAAATATATCTACCTCAACTCTATGTATTTTAATTTTTATTATCCGTGTTCTATTGTCATTATTCATTGTCTTACCCTTCCGAATGAAAAGGAATTTTCCAAGCCGCCTGGCCAGCACAGTAATAGTTGGATTAGCACTTTTATGAAGAGAGATCCTTGTCACCCTAAAAATTAATAATTTATAGATGCGATTATGTTCACTCGTCATAGATTATAGGTAAGCTACATTAGTCAATCACTGAATAGACTAAACATACTTTGTAAACCACTAAATCGACTAAACCCATTCGAAAGTTACGAGTGGTTCTATAAACAAGAAACATAATTAGCTAGAGTACAAAGGCACTACAATAATTTGTAGCTGTTACTATATAACTTGCCTTAAAAGTGTATCTACATTAAATAGAATAACTTATGTACACACGAGCCATATGTACAGTATTACCACATATAGAATAATATTACATAGCTTTACTTCCGTTAGCAATTTCAAAATTTTCGTTTTTATATATTCCAATAGACGTTCAAGTTAATCTAAACAGATTTGTAATGGCCAGCAGTCGCACTTAAAGTCGTCTAGTACGACTAGATAGCGCTGTGTAATTTGTCTACGGTTATTATTATCATGTATATAAGAGACGGTTACCACTTACTATCGGACGCTCTATCCGCTTAATTGCCATTCCAGCTTGTTGTCAACCATGTTTTACGCCTAAGGCACATTGCGAGTCGAACTCTAATCCTTGTTTACTACACAGCTAACAAATTGATGACATTACAGCAATCAACAAAGATACTTACGATTTATATGATATGATAATCATTTTAAATTGTGTAGACCGACACAATAACATGCGTGCGTGCGTCTGTGTCTGTGTGTGTGTGTGTGTGTCAAAGAATCCACCAAATTGAATGAAATCTATGTATATGATATGATTCGGAAATTGTTTGCAGCTTTATATATGTGACGCAATATTTTAACATTCTGTAGTTTATAAAGTTAAAGAAACCAATGAGACTGCAATGCCATGGTTGAAATCTATTTTATTTGTATTTCAAAAGAAATAGAATTTTATTAGTTTTTTTTCCTGGAATAGCAAACAAGATGACGGTCTCGATGCGAAGTGGTAACCGTCACTTTTATACATTAACTCAGAATTTTATTAGTTTTTTTTCCTGGAATAGCAAACAAGATGACGGTCTCGATGCGAAGTGGTAACCGTCACTTTTATACATTAACTCCGCTACGAACATCTCGACATCTTGTGACGTAGCTCAGCAGTCCTCGTTCTTTGCTATTACGGTGTACCTTAGTATCGAGGGGTGATACTATACTTATATAGTATCACCCCTCGATAGCCTACAATTACTTTGCCAATCTCGGCTTTCAATTGTAATGTAGCAGCACACATGATTGGTGTAGTACAGCTACGCGCCAACTGCCGGCACAACTTTTTTTTGTTTTTTTTCGGACTACTCTAATGCTGTTGGCCGCAGCTGACCTTTACAGCTTCACCGGACGTTAGGGGGCGAGTGCAGGTGGCACTCCAAACCCGCGGAAGCACTTAAAGAGCGGCTGAAGGCTAACTCCTGCCTGACGGATACGACTTTAGTCTGAGGGCACCACTAGGGGTTCGAACCTCGGCTCAGGCCGTCGTAATTTCGATCCCCGTTTGAATTGGACGGGGGATCGATCGGAGGAGCGCCCGGGGACGCGCCGGTGTAGAGCGCCTGGGGGCGCCGGTGTGGAGCGCCTGGGCGCGCACAGGCGCCTGGTTGAATACGCGATGTGATGCGATTGTGTGTTTGAGGTCGTCGTCTTCGCCGGCGAGGACAGTGTCGTGTGTGTGTGTAAAAGTGTGGTCGAGGTGGAACGGGTAGGCCCGTGGGGAGGTTACCTGCCGTTATGGGGTCGTCGCGGTCAATGAGAACGTGCCTCGGGCGACGTTGTCGCGTATGTCGGATATTACTCCTCGGTGCGTAGTCGATCGCACTGACTATAAGCGGATTAGGGTGGAATTGGGCAGAGTCGAAGTAGCGTCAAGACGCTTCCTTCATAAACTGCCTGATGGAGGGCAGATTAAAGTCGCGGTGGAGATCTACGCTACGAACGAACCACGGCGCACCAGTGGCTCGACGCAGAAACCTATTTTGTATAATCTGTAGTCTGTTAATTAAATAGTAGGGTATGTGGGCGAATACGGGACTGGCGTATGTCATGATGGGACGGATGCAAGCCTTGTATAATGTCAGCTTGTTGCGAAGCGACATTTTACTGTGCTTGTTAATAAAAGGATAGAGTCGCCCTAGTATAAAGGCGGCTCGGTCGCGGACACGATTGATGTGAGGACGAAACGTTAGTTTCCTATCCAGGGTGACGCCGAGGTATTTCGTTTTCGAAACCCACGGGATGCTTTGGCCGAATAGTTCGATCGGGTGATTGCCGTCGCAACGCGATCGCCTTGCTTATAAACCCGGTGCGAGTAGTAGCGCACTCGTATTGCCTTCTCATTCAATTATTTATTATTATTTTACGCACATAAGTTGTAAATTATTCCAAATAAATCCCCCCTCCGATCGATCCCCCATCCAATTCAAACGGGGATTGATATTACGACTGGCGAAAGTCGTATTCGTCAGGCAGAAGTTGGCCTTCAGCCGCCCCATAAGTCATTCCGCGGGTTTGAAGTGTCATCTGCACTCGCCCCCTAACGTCCGTGAAGCTGTAAAGGCCAGCTGCGGCCAACAGCATTAGAGTAGTCCAATTTAAATAAATAAAATAAACCATTAAATCCATCCACGAATACGACTAAATTAGTGGTTTCACTTCATACCATACGAGCCACTATAGTAACATTAGCTTATATAGCAAGCTACTTACCAGCTGCAATAGGTATGTTACAGGTACCAACACTGACGACTTTTTAGAAGGTTTTAAATTCAAACTGATCTTTACTCGTAAAGGGTCCAGCACACGGTGCCGTCTAACCCATCTGTAACCACATCATTGGCTACTGACAATGTCAGTGCCGCGATCATTTAAAACAGATAATGTCGTTTATATATATATATTTATATATATATATATATATATATATAATTTGTGACGCCTGAATGTCCGCCACATACATTGTTGTGACAGTAGTTTTCACATCGCCGCGCTGCCAATCCTCCAGTGGTTGTAATAGACCAGTAATAAATTTTATGTATGCATCGTTAAAAACATTGTAGTTAGCTCCAGCCGCGCGAAACAACTAACAATGTGTGGTTTATTTATTGTTCCTCCATAATTATAGAGCTCGCCCACGATTTCATGCAAAATTTATTAATTAAGCATGTTAAACTAAACTAAAGTGGTTTTAATATACTATGTCGGAGTTTACACGTCGTTATTGATAATACGTAAATCTTTGAGAAGAGAATTCCAATAAGAAGTTGACATTTAGATAATAATGCTGATTAATATTTTGGTCATGAGTTTGATTTTGTAACTATAGGTTACAAAATCATAGGTTGGTTATAAGGAAATGTAGATAAATAAAATTTGCTCAATATTTCTCTCTAAATTAAATAAATCAGTACGAATCTTGGTATTAGAAATAGTACGAAAAATTCAACATAGGAGAGTCATAATTGAATATAGACGTCAAGATGTCTTGGGCCATCTTATTATATATTAGACGTAGAAGACAAAATTTCACCTTGGGTTGACATAATAAATACTCGAGCATCATTTGTATGTCACGGCGCGGGCCCAGAGATCGTTATCCAGCTACGAGTTAAGAAGTACATGCTCTTGGAACGATATTATAAATGCGAATGATCGCAACTTCGCAACTGTCCGGTCGCGCTTCGCGTCACTGCTGTCCTTCCCTTGTAACCGAGACCTATTGTTCACAACGTCTGTCCGACTGAAAAATCTACTCTATTTAATTTCTTTGGCAGCTGGCGTCGCCGTTGTCTAGTATATTTTCATTGGTGCCGCGTGGGCCGCTATACGCCGATATAGCAGACTACTGACGCTGATTTTTATTACGTTCGCAAACCAATAGATATCGCATTGTTTTATGGACTTATAAAATATTTGTAGGTGATACAACGTGGTACCTACCTGGGTATTTTTGTTAGCTTCATATAAAACGGCTAGAGTCCTGGCAGCGTAATTCTGCTTGTATTGCAGTTTTGCAAACAGCGTTATTTTATTATATAGGTACACTTTATCCCTAAATAGTAGTCCAGAATATTTCTATGTCTGCAACGGAAGGCATTTTATTTACCTAAATATTTTCTTAATCTATCTCACAATGTATATGTAACCTATTTGTACTAAACCCTAAATTATACATAGTAGATGTACCGTAAATACGACTTTTAGTAATTGGCCTTACAAGAAGGACAACCTTCCTTCTTCCTGTGACATTATTTTTACATGGCCCTCCTTGGTCAACCCATCTTAGTACATTACTGTACGAACAAGTACTAAACATTCAAATATTTTCTGTCCGATTATTTCTGACGCTGTCCATGTACCTACAGCCTAAACCTCTTCGGAAACCAGTTTCGCGTCAAGCAGAAAAAATCTATGTACCAAAGATGCCTCTTTGGATATTTAGATAGTTTTTGTTTTTTAAACGAGTACAAAGATATATATTTGTTCTCTCTTCACCTGTTGTAAACTTGAGCTGTCAATCAATTCAACGGTCACATTATTTAATCTCGCCAAATGTTTTTATATCATTATTCTAAATAGGCACCTACGTAACAATAGGCATGCAATCAACCTAGTTATTGGAATATGGAATACAATAGTTGGTGTTTATTAATTTTGCGAGTCTACCACATCGATTCTTCTTCTTCTTCTTTCAGTATATATTTGTCCACTGCTGGACGTATGCCTC